GAGAGAGAGAGAGAGAGAGAGAGAGAGAGAGAGAGAGAGAGAGAGAGAGCATGTGCTCAAATAGCAAACTGGAACAAAGGGAGAATTTCATTGAAGAAAATGGACAAACAACTATTTAATTTCTGCAGAAGAGTGAATTGAAAATGGTTGCCACAGCATTTGCAATTCAACATTCTTCAGAATTCATATAAACATCTGATAAAATAAATTCACCCATTCACATAACGGACAGTTTCAAATAATTTCAACAAATTATTTCCAAATTCTAAACCTGAGAGTAAACATTTGTATTGCTCCAGTGAAAAGACGTCATGAACATGATGGATCTTTATAGCTGTTTTATTTTATGGAGTTGTATTTTATCTTCGTGCATTATTTCATTCAGTTTCTCCTAAGAGACGTCTTAACTTCTTTAGTAAAGATATTGAAAATAAATATGCATTGATGCCAAAAGTTAAACATTCAGTAATTTAACTCATCTGAAAAACCTTTGCAGTTTTTATTTATTATTATTATTATTATTATTATTATTATTATTATTATTATTATTATGATGGTTTTTGCTCCATGGCAACACTAGTTCTTTTTTCTCGGCAGTTGTTCAAATTTGATCCCTCTTGATTTTTGCACAAGTTCAAAAATTCCATTTAGTATTCAGAAATCTCGTAAGTTTGAAGTCACACAATTCATCACCTGAATGAATTAAGAGAAAAAATGCTGCTGAAGATCCTTGAACAAATGTTTTGCCGCCTCTCCTGGGTTTAACTGGTGCTCTGAGRGCCACACAAACAGCGGTAATTGCATTAAAAAAAAAACCTAATCAGTAAGCACATACATGACAACCTTCGACACAAGCAAAATCCTTCAAATTTTTACTCTTTGTCTGGAAAAAAAAGAAGAAGAAAAGAAATCCACGAACCTGTTCAAATCAAGCCTCCGCAACGTCCAACAATCTGAAATATGCTGTTAAATAAGGGCTGTGTTGTTTTGACTGTGCTTCAGTTTGTCTTGATTTATTTGTACTGTGATAGCTTATCTGCACAGATTTTTATTTTATTTTTCATCTTTGTTTTTCTTTCTGTATAACTTGGTCCTTGTCCACAGCACCTCGGATGTAAAAGCTCTTGAGAAACAGGGGGAAAGTAATAAATGAGCTCAAAATGAAGAGACAGAAATCAATTTAGATAAAAATGTCACAGATTATCACTTTAATTGCATTCCACATCCTTGCAATTTACCAAAGTGAAAAGTAATATAGAGTTTTTTTCCTGTAACTGCAATTATCTTTCTGTATGGAAAAAGAAAAAAAAGAATCGCAACATTCTGGAGAT